ATTATACAGTTTTAGAAATTCCATGTATAATATATAATCTATCAAAGTTTTCTTTTCATTATTCATTATTAACTTTTTTGTTTTGCTGGTATATTTATTGAGTAAATCAGTTCAGCCTTTATGTTTGTTAAAACGTTAAATTTACATAAAAACTCAGCAGTGTGATTTTGTGTTAATTTCTGTACAGTCGCATGAGGTGGTTTGATGACAGAGTTTAGTGATGAGATTGTACTTAAACCTGCAGCATGTGGAGTTCCTCAGGGATCATTACTGAGACACTGCTATTTTTCTTGTTTAAATGTGTCATTTAAATAAATTTAAGGGCTCAAACACCCAGTATTATAGTTATTTCTAACCTTAATGACAAATTTAACATCTAACAGTGAAATGTGCCTGACTGTTCCTTGAACATTTTTTTAAATGACTAGTGTAATTTTGTTTTTGATCTGTAATATTTTTATCATTGTCTTCTGTTCGTTTGTGTCTGCTTCAGTCGCAGCGCTGTGGTTTCATCAGTTGAAACCACATTTCAACAAATAGCTGAAGCTGCCGATAAAAATCTGATAGAAACCGAACAGCAGCTCAGTTTCACATCAACAGGAAACATAGCAATTACACAGGTTATAAAAAAGAGTTTATCCCGTACTGTGTGTTAGCCACCTTCTTTTTTTTTCAGCTCAAATCTGGAAGTGTTTTATTTTATTTTGTTCACACTCTGATCAAATAATTTAGTTCACCAACACTGAATGGTTATGGTGCATAACATTGTTGAACATTTAAACATAAACAAAAGTTTTGTCTTATACAGTACCAGTAACTCAGCAGAATCATGGATGTCAAATGATATTAGGCAGTGAGCTTTTTATGGGCCTTTAAAAATAAAATGGCACTTGTGAGAATTTACTCTTACTTGACTGGAAGTCAGACTCCACTTCTACTTCTAGTAAAACAGTGACTCAAGATGAGAAAAGCCTGCAGCCTGAGTTTACTACTACTGACAATACTATGTGTTTCTGTGTATTACTGTGTGAGTGTCACAGTGACACAAACATCAGAACATCTGGACAACACTGCGCCAAGTCTGAACGCATGTAGCATGAAACCACCAGAGGAGGAGCTCTAAGACCGGTTTTATTAGACTTGTTAAAAAATAATACTTGTTTTTGATATTTAAAAAATAACATTAGATCAGATTTTCTA